CTTGTAAATCGAAGGTGATAGAGAAGATGCGATGGTCTGTTAGATTAATATTAAGATTTACAATGCAAGTAATTGTCGTGAATGAGCTTAGTCAATCGGAAAAAGTGACGGTTTTCTTGTTTCTATTATGTATGCATTGTACACAAATAAATAATTTATCGACCATGTATGTAGTCGACCAGAAGTAAATAAAGAATTTCTCTGTCAGAAAAAAAATATTAATCACTGGGACCTTGTGTCCATTTCGAAAAAACTATTTATTTTGGAATTTATCGTGTGACTACTATGCTATATAAGATTTTACATTCTACAAAGTTTTTTATTAATTTTCAACATCTTTTGAATTCAAACTGGCACATTTCCTGTGACTGTCCCAACATTTATAGGAATTACCTGAAACATAAAATTTCATTGGTTTCTGTTTAGTATATCTACTAGTATAATAACTATAGTATGAACTAAAAAGAACTGATTCTATATAGAAATGACTGAATGGTAGCAGTTTAAAGTCAAAATTTTAGAGTTTTTTGCAATTTTTGGCAGTTTCAGAACAGAAAAAGGTGGAAAAATTAATATTCTATCGGTATTGTAGTTCATGAAATGCTCAAATCTGTGACAAATATTTAAAATTTCACAAGGATCGGCCAAACAGTTTTTGAGAAATATTCGCAGTAGGTAAAGAAGTAAATTTCAGACTAACATGTTTAACTTTTCTTAAAATCATTTATACAGGGTGTTTCAAAAAGGATGTCACAAATTAAATCACGCATTCCGGGGACAAAAATAAATTGATTGAATCCAACTTACCTTAATACAAAGTGTACACAAATAAAGTTACAGCCCTTTGAAGTTAAAAAATAAAAATTGTTTTTTGCATTATCTACTAAACTACTTGACATTTTGTAATAAAAATGGATACGATACTTTCTTGTTGTGAGGCATTTTTATAAAAAAGAAACAACAAAATCTAAGCGCACAGAAACATTTTAAGGGGGGTGTACAGCCCTAAATCCCCTCAAACTTTTAAGTATGTTCAAATCAAATGAATTTTGTGGCATCATTAGTTTAACACATTATTTTAAAGTTTTTTGCCTCTTATCACTTTTTTCAAAAAACAGTTTTTTATTGAGTTATGGCCCTTTTCATTAACCTTTAAAAAAATACGTGCAACTAAATAAATGGTTTAAATGAATTAATAAGTACAAAAAATGTCTATAAATTCTATAAATATGATATTACAATCATAGGACCGCAGAAAACATCGGACTTCTGATTAACATCCAGAAAACTAAATATATGCCGGCCATATCAAGAATTCAACAAAATAACTTAGAGGTGCAACACAAAACGATAGAGATGGTAGAAGAATTCTGGATCTTAGGATCACTGGTAGACTACAAAAATAACACATCCAACGAAAAAAAAAAAAAGAATTTGCGTGGCTAACCGCTATTTTGGCCTTGGCCCTCAACTAAGAGCGAGAAGTATGTCAATAGCAACAAAGTGCAAACTTTATAAAACAATAATACGCCCAGTGCTCACATACGGATCGGAAACATGGGCAATGACGACCCGAAATGAAGAGTTACTACGAGTCTTTGAAAGAAAAGTATTGAGGAGTATATGCGGGACACAGGGTCTGTGGAGAAGGCGATCTGTAAACTTTGTGAGCAGATATTGTGAAGACCATCAAAATAAACCGCCTAAGGGTGGTGGCCACGTTATGCGGATGAAAACTATGCTAAACAGGCCGGTCGAAAGAAGAAGAAGGGGGCGACCTAAAGCCAGATATCTGGACGATGTACAGAAAGATCTGAGGGAGATTGGAGTGAGGGGCTGGAGAAGACAGACATTCAATAGGGAAGGATGGAAGAATGTTTTGAAGCAGGCCAAGGCTCTCGAAGGGCTGTAGCGCCAACTGATGAATGAATGATATTACAATAAATGTTCAAAATGACCCCCATTTTCTTCAATACACATTCGGTATCGTTTTAATAAGTAAAACCGAATGTGGTGAAAAATCATATTTTTCTGACGAAATTGATTTGTAGCTTCAATTATTCTATTGTTACAGAATACACTTTCTCTTTCGTGAACCCTCAAAAGCATTGTCCATGGGGTTAAGACCTGGACTTCTGGGTGGCTAAGAAATAGGTGCGTCACGACCCCTTCCAATCCACCGACCAGGATACTGCCTGCAAAGGTATTCCCGGACTTGATTACTGTGATGCAGTGAAGCGCCATCTTTTAGAAACCACATATTTTGCGTCATTGCAATATTAACTTCTTTGAAATATTCTTGTAAATTGTTTGCCAAGAATTGCAAATAATCATCACCATTCAAATTTTTGAGAAGAAATACTGTGCCCATTAGATTGTCCATTTCCCATAAGATCGATTAGTATGTTAAAAATTTCGTCACCTGAAGGACGACTTGTGTTCTATAAACCTACTTTTTTTGGACGTTATGCATCCTCATTCCTTGAAAAAACCCTCCTTACAAAAGATCAAAGATAAATCAAGGCGCAGCCACTGCAGTAATTACCCCGTTAAAAAATTTTTACAATGGAAAACTTTCAATACCAGCTGCAAAATATCGCCACCTTCTTCATTTATCCCAGTATTTGGAAATCCCCGAAGCGTAGCTTTTTTATCAAAATTTAACTGCTGACGTTGTTCAACAGGAAGAAAATGATGACGAATACGCTGACGATCCCCTAATTGATGATGGAGAGAATTGACTTCAGACGGTGTTTTTTTAATAGTTTTTACTCTGATTTTTTATTGCAAAACTATTAACAAAATTGTCAATAAAGTAATTAAAACGTTTTCTCTACGTTTATTGTTTATTTTTTTAGCCTCCAGAGTTGAAAAAACAATCAAATGAGTTGTTTTCTCGAAAATTACTGTTTTTGAATGACGGGGTTTTTCCCCCGTGCCCTTCAAATGCTTCTTCTTGTTTTCATTACTTATTTTAATCTAAGGTTAATTTTACTTAGCGTGAACAAAATTTGAACCATTACGCATAAAAATTGCCTCATTTAAAAAATCGCAATGCATGTTCCATTGTGTACTTTTCAAATTTGTTCACATCGCTGATACATTGTATGAAGGTAATGATAATTATACTTTCAAATAAAACGTTATAAAATCGAGTGCCATTGTTTAGAACTAAGCAGTTCAAGTGGTTGGCGTATGCGGTAGTAGACGTTTGAGTTACACAATTCTAGTTCCGGAGCTTTTAATTTTGCTAGTGAACATGACAGTTCTTAATTAGTAATAATTGAATTCACCTATTTTTCATTAATTAAGTACTAATTGTAATACAAGGGCAATACTGTGATCTTTTTCTCTTGTAATTATATAAAATAAATAAATATTAGATTAAAATTCTATTTTTTTCCTTTACAATACAGTACACACCAAAACAAAATCAAAGTATAGAGCTCTGCTAAATTGCTCATGTAGGTTTCGTTTACAACACTTCACTTATTGTAAGTATTTTCTCAAATAATTTCTTATACTCTTGCAAACTATATAGAAGACATAGAAAAAAAAAATAGGAGTGTGTGGTGATATTTTACTTGTTATAAAGACATCTACATAGGCCACTTGGACATAGGCCTTCTCCAATTCAATCCAGTTCTTTATTTATGCGCCACTGGCTTACATTTGTGTTCTCCGATCTTCTTAATATCATCCGCCCATCTCATTTGTGGTCTTTCTATCCTTCTCTTTCCTAATTATGGTCTCCATTGTTGTATTTCATGGTTGCATCTCTTATCCTTCAGTCGGGCATTGTGTCCTGCTAAGCTTCATTTTAATTTGGCAGCATGTTCTTATGCGTCTTTTACTTTGGTTTTGCTTCTATAATTTTTGTTTTTATTTTGTTAAATGTATGTTAATATATTTTGTTTATCGCTTTTTTTGTATATATTATCATCCCGAGCGTTGATCTTTCCATCGCTCTTTGTGTTTGTACTATTTTATCCATATTAGACTTGGTGAATGTTTACGTCTGTGAACCATACGTGAGTATAGGAGGATACACTGATCGTAAATTCTGATTTTCAAATATTGTTCTATTTTAGTGCTTTTCAAGACGCAACTCAGTTTAACAAATTCTGTCCACGCTAACCTTATTCTTCTGGTAATTTCGGCAGTTTGATTTTCTTTCATTATCTATCCCAGATAGATGTATTCCTTTATTGTTTCTAAATTTATGTTGGATACAAATGTTCGGTGTATTTTTCCTTATTTTTGTTTTTGTTTTTTCTAAGACCTACTTTCTTAAGACCTACATTTTCCGAAGCTTGAAATAGTTACGTTATCATGGTCTATAATTTTTCGAAACTTGTAGCGAATATTACAATGTCATTAACGTATCTTAAATGACTAAATTTTCTTCCATTAACATTTATTCCTTAATCTGCATAGTTAATGTCTTTGAACACGTCTTCCAGTTTAAGTGTGAATAGCTTTAGTGAGATAACATCACTCTGGCAAACTCCTCTGTTGATTTGTATAGCTTTGGTTTTCGAATCTACATATTTGTATTTTCATTGTAGCTTTTTGGTAAATATTATGTATGAGCATTCTGTATCAGAAGTCTATTCTGCAGTTGTTCATAGCTCTCTCCAGGCCCGTTCCTAGGGTAGTGAGCGCCTGCGTGCAGGATTTTTTGTGCGCCCCCATATTATGTTTTTAAGATACCTATATCATAACATGTTCTTGTGATATGATTGAAAATATGATATGAATGTAAAAAGAAAAATAAAACGAATCATGTTTGAAAAAAGGTTTTATTTTCAAAATTAAATGAAGAAAAAGGTCATTTTAAAACAATATTATTATGTAAGTTAACAGTAAGAAAGAAAACACTCAAATCGCAAATTAATAAGGCATTCTGGAATATAACATGAAACAATAACGGAAAGGAGATACTCTCAATGCAAAAAAAACTTTTGTTTACCAAGTGAAAAATAAAACAAATACTGGAATTACAACATGACACGTCGTGCTTTCACAGATGCAAGCTCATTAATCATTTCATTGTGATCAATGGCTTCACAAATTTTATTTTCAATTGAAATGACTGCCAAATCTGATAGCCTTTCTTGGCACATTGACGTTCTTAAATAATTTTTTATTAGCTTTAGCTTTGAAAAACTCCTTTCGCCAGATGCCACCGAAATTGGAAGGGTCAGGAATATTCTCAAGGCTATAAATAGATTTGGAAACAAGGATTGTAAATTTTTCTTTGTTATATAATTTAAAATATCTATGGGCGAATCCGAAATTTTGCCAGAGTCTGTGAATAGGTTAAGAACTTTGTATGACAGAATTTCATTATGCAAATCAAGACCATCAATATCTTTGCATACGTTTCCTGCATGTTGAATTTGTAAAGCTAAATCCAAATCCATACATGATCTTTTAATCACATCAGAATCTAGATTTTGAAAATTACCCAAAAATCCAAATAAATCGTGTAACTTATCTATTCCCCCAAAGCGTCTTTGTAGGGATTGAATTGTGTCCAAAATTTGAAAATAAAAACTGATCTTAAATTTTTGTTTTGGATCGAATACTGTTTCATCTGTACCTTCATACGAAAATTGAAGCTTCGTCTTTCTTTGTCTTAATAATGGAAATGTTTGCTCTACATCACTTTTTTCTGCTTCTGCTACAGCCTCATTCATGAAAATCTCGAAATGTTTGTCTAACCTTTTTTCAGTGAAATAAATAATAAGATTTTTTATTTCTGTGTGGCATTCATTTTAAAGTTGTATTTGGATTCTGGACCATTTTACTTACTATATTAATTTTTGTTAACACATCATGCCAAATTATAATAGAAAAAATGAATTTGAACGTTTTAGTTTTGTCTAATAGTGACCTTGCTGAATGTTTCGTGTTCATATCTCTTGAATTATCTTCCACCAAATCATGTAAATTTTTCCACATTTCGAGGAATTGAAACCTAAGAGGGCGAATGGCTTTGCCTCTGCTTTCTCATCGTGTTTCACTTACTGATTTTAAAGTTAAGTTTGGTACATTCCTTTTTAAAATGTCCCATCTGTAGGGTGAATAATTGAAAAAAAAGAAAAAAAATTGAACAACTCCTGAATAATTGAAAAAAAACCTGCAGTTTCACATGAAATTTTAGCTGCATCATTGACACTTAAATTAAAAGTGTGAGCTGAACAAGGCAAAAACATTGCTCTGGGATTAATTTTTAGAATCTGAGCTTGAAGGCCCACATGCTTACCAGACATATTTGCCCCATTGTCGTAACCCTGACCTCTCATGTTATCAAGGTTTATTTCAAATTTTGATAATATTTCTTCTTTAAAAAAATGGAAAAGCCCTTCTCCTGTAGTATTTAAAACTTTGAAAAAACCCAGAAAGTGTTCTCTAATTTCGACTTCATATGGAGAACAATAAACGAAGCGAATTATGACCGTCAGCTGCTCAACATCGCTACAACTGGAGATTCATCCAAAATAATTGAGTAATATTTTGCTGTTCTGGGCAGAAATTAAACAGGTAATCAATTTTTATCTGAAAATCAGAACAGTCACAAAAGGTGAACTTTCCAACTCTCAAAAATGTCGTAAGTGATGTTTTACGTATATGGTTGTAAATAATAGTATATTATATACATTCACAATATATAATATTATACACTGAGTTGAAGTGTTTAATTCTTAACGAGAGAAAAACATGGTTTACCGAGGCGTATAGCGTCGAGACAGGAATGAAATTTTTTCACCGAGGTTTGTATAGGTACTGTTTTATTCAGAACCATATCTTTTAAATGCAAATTAAAAAAAAATCTAATAAAATTTAAACAAACATTTTGGTTATTCGTAGGATGTTAAAATTTACCTGGGTGGAAAATTAATGTCATACACTTTTCATCCGGGTAAATGTCACTTTCCTCCTGGATAGATTTTAAAACTAGAAATTTGGTTTTTCAAACTTTTATAAAAGGTCTTCAATGTCAACATAACATACATGGTTGTAAATAAACATTGATACTTAACTGACCCGAAGAATAATTTTAAGGTTCTTAAACTGTTAAATTTTACTACTTTACTTTACTTTTTATTTTATTTAAATAAATAAGTTAACTTATTTTACTTACTTTAAGCAGTTTATTTGCCGCCTTAAACTTACAATTTACAATAAACTTGATGTATTTACAATAAACTTTAATGACAATGATATTGCGAACAGAACATCCTAACCCATAAGACAAAATCTAACGACTGAATTAAAACGTTATGATTTGCTGCGCAAACGACAATTTCGTCAGAGGTGGGCGCATCGCGCAACTTTTCTTAAGACAACCACGCGGGCGGCATGCCGGCAACACAAAACATTAAAAGTGAGTGGCGTGCGGCATTAGATGGCGCGTCGTATGCTGACACTAATAAAATTGTAGGTGGTAATTTAATTAGTAATTTTGGTATTATAATAGTGAATAGCAAACGAATGAAGTGATTGCTTTAGCGCTTACCGGGGAAATACTGAACACTGACTTTTTTTTGTTTTAGAAGTAAGAATATTTTTGTAACGGTAACCAAATATTTGGCGCCCCTAAAATTTAGCGCCTGCGTGCGGGGCATTCATTGCATACCCGCCAGGAACGGCCCTGGCTCTCTCTATTGTCCAAAGTTCTATGGAGTCGAATGCCTTTTCATAACTAACGAGGCCGTATAAGTTGAAGTGATATTCATTGGCTTTTTCTATTAGAGTTCTGCTTGTAAGAAGATGATCCGCTGTACTATAACCCTTTCGGAATCCTGCCTGCTCTACAGGTTGATGGCTATTGAGCTTCGAAGTTAATCTGTTATATATTACTCTCATAAATAGTTTGTACCTTTGGGACAGCAGGGAGATTGACCTATAGTTCTTCAGATCTCCTCTTTCTCCCTTTTTGAAGAGAAGTATTGTCAAACATAGGGATGTATTTGCTTAAAAAGACGCTAACATTAACTTTAAACGGAAGACACCAGAAACCGAAAGTTTTTTAAATCAATTTTTTAAAACACCAATGCATGTAAAATTAATAAAAAGGGGAGAAGTTTCCCACTGTCCTTTATATTCCGATATACTCTTTTGGAGTACAAAATAATTGTTTTAAAAGTGTGAGCAATTTTACAACTGCTTCTGTAAAATAATCTCCTCGTTCAAACAATTTGAGAAAAATCAAAGTGATTAGTGATCAATAGTTTCCAATTTATTTTAGATTATTTAGAGCGATCCAAGGCTCTATAAAAGTATTTTCTAAAATGGAAATATTTTATAAATATAGATGTATGTCATATATGTGGAGCGTAAAATCAAAAGTCGCAATCTCCACTTTTTCTTGTTTTGAGTTAGGGACGCCATCTGTTGCGTTTGTTTTATTATCTGTTAGATAAAACTATTTGTAAGAATCAATAGCGGTTTTAACTTTATACAAATGGCAGTGAAAAGTTTATATTGGGATCAAAAGCGTTAATCTCCATAGCTAAGTGCGTACCAAACACGGCAATCTCCTCTGCGGCCAATAAGAACCACGTAGCGCACGCACGTGATCAACATTTGGTTAGACTTGCCGTTACATCGTGCTATTAAAATTTATCGTGTCAAATAAATTAGTTTTATATACAAAAAAGTATTCATTTTTTATCATGGAAGTTAATGCGTCTCCTGTCACACCAACAAAGGCAAGAAAGCAAATAAGACAACCTGAAAAATGGAAGAAAAATATTGCAAAACGTCCAAGGTGAGTACTTGTGTGAATGTTATAATTCCATTTTCAAGTAATTGTTGAATTTTGATATTTTGTTTTTCGTTTTTGTTAAAATTTGAACCCATTTTAGTACTTATGTTCATAATTATTTTTGTTGTAGATATTCTGCGAAGAATATGCCAGAATATCCAACATGTGGCCACAATTCAAAAACATATAAGTGGCATACAGTGGGATATACAGAAATTTCATGGCTTATTCTATGAGACCAAAGATAAAGCGACTTAAGATGCCTTTATTTTGAAATACTGCTCTGTGAATCGTACTGTCCATCGTCGGCCGAAAAATGAAAAGTATTCTCCAAAGAAGCACCAGGTATAGATCTCGTCTCGGTCTATATTTCCTTGGTATGGACAAGAGCCTTCTGACCATTTTTTTTAGATAGTCCGTAGGTTAGTGGAGCAAGTATTGCCCTTTTGAATGCGATTATTTAAATAAATGGTTCACAGAAATTTGATATTTTGTAGCATTTTCTGTGTTATCGAGGCAATTAAGAACAATTTTAAAAATGAGAATTGACTGAATAGAAGGGATCAATATACTGTATCTAACCTTTCAAAGTAAATAAGTAATTGAATATATAATTAAATAATATCATATTATAATGCAGTAATAAAACTATTAAAGCAGCATTTGTAAATAAATACTAAGTACTTTCTAAATAAATTACTTGTAAATAAATTCCAAATATGCATCTTATCACTCGGAAGAATACTTTTACGTGGTTCATCAAGCTGATCGCTCTCTACTCTTCACATTTCATTACGTCGGGTTTTTTGGTTATTGGTATGACTACAAATATTAGCTATTCTTTTGAAATTTTATATTCTAGGGATATCATTTGATCTACCTCTGATTTTCGTTTCCTTAGAATATGTAAAGATTGCCAAACCTTACACTATCGTTTTTAATAACTCTGCTGACACTGATTGTACCTGATAAACTCTTAGTTTTATGTACGTTGCATAAAATATGCAATAAAATAAAATTACCACGGATTGGAAATAAAACAAATATAAAATGAATTTAGTAATTTTTAATTTTAAATTAATTTCACAAACATTCTTATTTATAGATAAATCTAACTGTTATAACCATTTCATCATATAATCTTTTGTTACGTTTTTATTGACGTTAATAAACGAGAGACATCTAACATACTTAATATTACAATTAAAATAGGTAAAAATAATATAAAGACTATTAGTCTAGGTGCCAGGCGACATACTGTATCACTCATACATAACAGGCTGCAATTTTCAGGATAGTTTCATAAGACCTCAACCCCCAAATATCTCTTGTGATACTTTCTCTACCGGGTGCTTTTTCTCTCCAGCTTATCCAAAAGTGGTCATTTTGAAGTGATGTATCAAATTTATTAATAACTATTTGCTGTTTAATGAATAAAAAAGTCGTGTTCGAGAAATATACGAAAAAAATCTTGCCCGACAAAAATGTTGGTTCCATAAGGGAGTCCACCAAACTAAACATGCTAAAAAAACAACTTTAAAAAATTTAGTAATAACAAGCTAATTTTTTCTATATCGTTCAAAAATAACGTGAAAAATACTATTTTTAGATTGTCCGACAAAATGTACTCGCCGATTTTTCTGTCCGACAGTGAAAATCGGCTTGAAATTTATTAATAACTTCTTTTGAGATTTTTAGTTTTTAAATGAAGAATACAACTTACTGAATAAATTGTCCGACAAAAAAATAGGGCCTTTTATGTGAAAATTAAAAAATATACCGTCGACATCACTTTTTTGTATAATGTGTGAGCATTAAAATTGTAGATATATCCTATTCATAAATAACAAGCTGATTTTTTTAAAGCCGTTTTATAAAATCTCGTAGTATACAAATGTAGAATTGATTTTTCAGTCGGACACGTTTCGTCGTAACCTTCGCTGAAATTGTGTATATAAATTTTGTGTATATAAATTAAAGTTTGTGAAATTTCTTATTGAAGACTGGTGTTACGACGAATTTACTGAGATATATGAAGCAAAAATATTAAAATTGAATTATGATAATTGTTACATGTATGAAGTTTTCAACAATCGAATGAAGAGATCTGTAGATTATAATTCATCTTGTACACATCTAGTGTGGAAATAATTATAGATATGTCAACAACCAACAAAAAAAAGGAATATTTTAATATCAATGATATTTACCAAAATTATGGAGAGCAAATGACAGGAGCTCTAATAGTATATCCTGTATTTACTGGCAATAATTATAGCTCTGATAACACCCTGTAAGATTGT